CCCCCCTTTTCAAGTATCAATTGTTGTAATCGGGTGATAGCCTACTGCTCCCTTATGATTTGGAAGCATCCGTTACGGCAAAAAACCCTTGTTGATACCTTTAAAACACTTTTTCCCCCTCCCCGTAGGTTCCGCCCACTGAAAAGACCACTGCCGCAGCACAGCGCATGCGCGAAACGGCCATCTTTGTGATTCTTTATAGGGTGCATACCTGCAAATAAACTCCCATAGACACTAGTGCTAAATGCCCGTACTTCAAAATTCTTTTAAAAATACTCAAAACTCTCACAGGTATTCAAGCTGCACAGAAAAATGATGGTCAATGTGTCATCTTTCATTTTCTTTTCAATTTATGGTGGGTTGACCATTGACTTTTCGAGATATTTTCACGCAAAGAAGACGACCCCTATTTTCCCCAAAGCGGAAAAGTAGCCATCTTGAAAAACGATCCCTCCACAACATGGCAAAATAGCGCCACTTTCGAGCCCAATAGCATCCAAAATGCTCAGAATTGGAAGCCCCAAGTCCGGGCTAGAGGTTCACTACCATATCTCTTCAATTCCCCAATTTTACGGCGCTCAGAACTCTCTAATATAGAATATTTTGAGGGTATAACTTTTATTCATGAGCTTGGCGGATCGATTTACAGGTGTGTACCCTATAATAGCAGGCAACTTTTAAATTTTAACACAAAATCACATTCAGGACAAGCAGAATATCTCCAAAGTCAATATTTTGAAAAAAAAATGAAAGAAAAATATTATCCGAGGTAGATATTAAGCCCGAAAATAGTGATTGTTTTGCCCCTGCTAAGCTGTAGAGCGCCCCCAGCGACAATAAATTGAGTTCCAGCTACTTTTAAGCTCAAAATGCCCCCCCCCTTTTCAAGTATCAATTGTTGTAATCGGGTGATAGCCTACTGCTCCCTTATGATTTGGAAGCATCCGTTACGGCAAAAAACCCTTGTTGATACCTTTAAAACACTTTTTCCCCCCCCCGTAGGTTCCGCCCACTGAAAAGACCACTGCCGCAGCACAGCGCATGCGCGAAACGGCCATCTTTGTGATTCTTTATAATAGCAGGCAACTTTTAAATTTTAACACAAAATCACATTCAGGACAAGCAGAATATCTCCAAAGTCAATATTTGAAAAAAAAAATGAAAGAAAAATATTATCCGAGGTAGATATTAAGCCCGAAAATAGTGATTGTTTTGCCCCTGCTAAGCTGTAGAGCGCCCCCAGCGACAATAAATTGAGTTCCAGCTACTTTTAAGCTCAAAATGCCCCCCCCCCCCCTTTTCAAGTATCAATTGTTGTAATCGGGTGATAGCCTACTGCTCCCTTATGATTTGGAAGCATCCGTTACGGCAAAAAACCCTTGTTGATACCTTTAAAACACTTTTTCCCCCTCCCCGTAGGTTCCGCCCACTGAAAAGACCACTGCCGCAGCACAGCGCATGCGCGAAACGGCCATCTTTGTGATTCTTTATAGGGTGCATACCTGCAAATAAACTCCCATAGACACTAGTGCTAAATGCCCGTACTTCAAAATTCTTTTAAAAATACTCAAAACTCTCACAGGTATTCAAGCTGCACAGAAAAATGATGGTCAATGTGTCATCTTTCATTTTCTTTTCAATTTATGGTGGGTTGACCATTGACTTTTCGAGATATTTTCACGCAAAGAAGACGACCCCTATTTTCCCCAAAGCGGAAAAGTAGCCATCTTGAAAAACGATCCCTCCACAACATGGCAAAATAGCGCCACTTTCGAGCCCAATAGCATCCAAAATGCTCAGAATTGGAAGCCCCAAGTCCGGGCTAGAGGTTCACTACCATATCTCTTCAATTCCCCAATTTTACGGCGCTCAGAACTCTCTAATATAGAATATTTTGAGGGTATAACTTTTATTCATGAGCTTGGCGGATCGATTTACAGGTGTGTACCCTATAATAGCAGGCAACTTTTAAATTTTAACACAAAATCACATTCAGGACAAGCAGAATATCTCCAAAGTCAATATTTTGAAAAAAAAAATGAAAGAAAAATATTATCCGAGGTAGATATTAAGCCCGAAAATAGTGATTGTTTTGCCCCTGCTAAGCTGTAGAGCGCCCCCAGCGACAATAAATTGAGTTCCAGCTACTTTTAAGCTCAAAATGCCCCCCCCCCCTTTTCAAGTATCAATTGTTGTAATCGGGTGATAGCCTACTGCTCCCTTATGATTTGGAAGCATCCGTTACGGCAAAAAACCCTTGTTGATACCTTTAAAACACTTTTTCCCCCTCCCCGTAGGTTCCGCCCACTGAAAAGACCACTGCCGCAGCACAGCGCATGCGCGAAACGGCCATCTTTGTGATTCTTTATAATAGCAGGCAACTTTTAAATTTTAACACAAAATCACATTCAGGACAAGCAGAATATCTCCAAAGTCAATATTTTGAAAAAAAAAATGAAAGAAAAATATTATCCGAGGTAGATATTAAGCCCGAAAATAGTGATTGTTTTGCCCCTGCTAAGCTGTAGAGCGCCCCCAGCGACAATAAATTGAGTTCCAGCTACTTTTAAGCTCAAAATGCCCCCCCCCCCCTTTTCAAGTATCAATTGTTGTAATCGGGTGATAGCCTACTGCTCCCTTATGATTTGGAAGCATCCGTTACGGCAAAAAACCCTTGTTGATACCTTTAAAACACTTTTTCCCCCTCCCCGTAGGTTCCGCCCACTGAAAAGACCACTGCCGCAGCACAGCGCATGCGCGAAACGGCCATCTTTGTGATTCTTTATAGGGTGCATACCTGCAAATAAACTCCCATAGACACTAGTGCTAAATGCCCGTACTTCAAAATTCTTTTAAAAATACTCAAAACTCTCACAGGTATTCAAGCTGCACAGAAAAATGATGGTCAATGTGTCATCTTTCATTTTCTTTTCAATTTATGGTGGGTTGACCATTGACTTTTCGAGATATTTTCACGCAAAGAAGACGACCCCTATTTTCCCCAAAGCGGAAAAGTAGCCATCTTGAAAAACGATCCCTCCACAACATGGCAAAATAGCGCCACTTTCGAGCCCAATAGCATCCAAAATGCTCAGAATTGGAAGCCCCAAGTCCGGGCTAGAGGTTCACTACCATATCTCTTCAATTCCCCAATTTTACGGCGCTCAGAACTCTCTAATATAGAATATTTTGAGGGTATAACTTTTATTCATGAGCTTGGCGGATCGATTTACAGGTGTGTACCCTATAATAGCAGGCAACTTTTAAATTTTAACACAAAATCACATTCAGGACAAGCAGAATATCTCCAAAGTCAATATTTTGAAAAAAAAAATGAAAGAAAAATATTATCCGAGGTAGATATTAAGCCCGAAAATAGTGATTGTTTTGCCCCTGCTAAGCTGTAGAGCGCCCCCAGCGACAATAAATTGAGTTCCAGCTACTTTTAAGCTCAAAATGCCCCCCCCCCCTTTTCAAGTATCAATTGTTGTAATCGGGTGATAGCCTACTGCTCCCTTATGATTTGGAAGCATCCGTTACGGCAAAAAACCCTTGTTGATACCTTTAAAACACTTTTTCCCCCTCCCCGTAGGTTCCGCCCACTGAAAAGACCACTGCCGCAGCACAGCGCATGCGCGAAACGGCCATCTTTGTGATTCTTTATAATAGCAGGCAACTTTTAAATTTTAACACAAAATCACATTCAGGACAAGCAGAATATCTCCAAAGTCAATATTTTGAAAAAAAAAATGAAAGAAAAATATTATCCGAGGTAGATATTAAGCCCGAAAATAGTGATTGTTTTGCCCTGCTAAGCTGTAGAGCGCCCCCAGCGACAATAAATTGAGTTCCAGCTACTTTTAAGCTCAAAATGCCCCCCCCCCCTTTTCAAGTATCAATTGTTGTAATCGGGTGATAGCCTACTGCTCCCTTATGATTTGGAAGCATCCGTTACGGCAAAAAACCCTTGTTGATACCTTTAAAACACTTTTTTCCCCCTCCCCGTAGGTTCCGCCCACTGAAAAGACCACTGCCGCAGCACAGCGCATGCGCGAAACGGCCATCTTTGTGATTCTTTATAATAGCAGGCAACTTTTAAATTTTAACACAAAATCACATTCAGGACAAGCAGAATATCTCCAAAGTCAATATTTTGAAAAAAAAAATGAAAGAAAAATATTATCCGAGGTAGATATTAAGCCCGAAAATAGTGATTGTTTTGCCCCTGCTAAGCTGTAGAGCGCCCCCAGCGACAATAAATTGAGTTCCAGCTACTTTTAAGCTCAAAATGCCCCCCCCCCCCTTTTCAAGTATCAATTGTTGTAATCGGGTGATAGCCTACTGCTCCCTTATGATTTGGAAGCATCCGTTACGGCAAAAAACCCTTGTTGATACCTTTAAAACACTTTTTCCCCCTCCCCGTAGGTTCCGCCCACTGAAAAGACCACTGCCGCAGCACAGCGCATGCGCGAAACGGCCATCTTTGTGATTCTTTATAGGGTGCATACCTGCAAATAAACTCCCATAGACACTAGTGCTAAATGCCCGTACTTCAAAATTCTTTTAAAAATACTCAAAACTCTCACAGGTATTCAAGCTGCACAGAAAAATGATGGTCAATGTGTCATCTTTCATTTTCTTTTCAATTTATGGTGGGTTGACCATTGACTTTTCGAGATATTTTCACGCAAAGAAGACGACCCCTATTTTCCCCAAAGCGGAAAAGTAGCCATCTTGAAAAACGATCCCTCCACAACATGGCAAAATAGCGCCACTTTCGAGCCCAATAGCATCCAAAATGCTCAGAATTGGAAGCCCCAAGTCCGGGCTAGAGGTTCACTACCATATCTCTTCAATTCCCCAATTTTACGGCGCTCAGAACTCTATAATATAGAATATTTTGAGGGTATAACTTTTATTCATGAGCTTGGCGGATCGATTTACAGGTGTGTACCCTGAAAGTTTATTCAGTGTTTGTTTCCTCGTTAGATGTCGCCCGGTGCGTCCACCCCCATACTGAGTCAGCGTGAGAAGTATCCGCACATCTACCGTATGATCACCTCGGCCGCCGGTTTCTCCTCGGCTCAGGTCCAGCTCTTTCGGCTGTTCGGCTGGAACAAGATCGCCACGTTGCACCAGACCAAAGAGCCACACGTGGGGGTGAGTGGCGCCACCCAAAGTTTGCCTCAATGAGGTTACTTTTCAATTTCACTACCTAGACTGTTTCCCCCTATATATAAAGATATGAGGACCGGTAACTAGCTCCTATTTAAAGCCTTTGATTGGATCACGATTGTTTATTTTTGAATCGCTGTTCAACTTTTGTGCATGGACGCCAGTGATTGAGCTCACGATTATCAAGAAACTCACGCTTGTCTTACCACAAAAAAGTACACAAAATCACCAGTGTCTCCGTGAAAGCAACTTTCAAGCATTTCAACTACCTAGGTTGTAAATATTAAACAGCAATATTTCTCTCTTTGATGATGTTTACCAGAGATACTTTCAAATTCAGCAAAAATCAAAGCTCACCATCTCCAAAATTGCACATTCGTGGCCAGGCCTATTGCCATTTTGCAACAGGCTGGTTGCGCGCAAACATTACCTTAGTGAATTAGAATTCACGAGGCGAGGCGGGTTTCAGACCTGCGCTCATCACGCATTATAGTTAACATACATTACCGGATATTCTGGGCAATGTATGCCAGATTCCACCGCTAGTTACTGGACCTCATTTTTGAAGTCCAAATTTAGGACAATGGGATCAGGGAACCAGACTATTTCACTACCGACCTCTAACACGCGGGTAAAGCAGGATAATGTGCACCGATTTCTGCGTCAGTACCAACATATTTGCATGAATTGTTTGGTTTCAGGTCATAAACGCGTTGCAAGATATGGTGTCGGCTAAAAATTACTCGATTATCGGCGCAGAGAGTTTCTACAAGGACCCCTACGATGCTTTGCAACGCCTTAAGGTAATCACCTTTAGTTTAAGTCAAACAGAAATTGGAAATAATTGAAACATATTCCTTCTCATGTAGGCCTAATTACTCAGAAATGCCAAGTGTGAATATTTGGATGAATAATATATCATTTCCATTAGCATTTCCAAACACAAATGTCATTTCTGTTTCTATACGAGAGCAAGCTCGATCAATAATTTCATCGGATGCACAAAAAAGTGATCGACGATAAAATGTTCCAGTCGCTGGTTGGACACTCAAACGTACACGTTTATAAAGTTTATATTATCATCCTTTAAAAACTTGGCATTTTGTGCTGTTCTCGCAAGAACGAATTTCGGATTTCAAAATTTTGACTCTCAAAAATCGAGCTGTTGGTTGCTAGTCGTGAATCCTGCTGCAAATTTTTCCACCAGTGCATCGCATTCTGCGGACGTTCGAGAAACAACATTTTTGTATTGCTACTGTGTGTAATATGTTACACGTACAACGTGACCGTATATTAATTGACGCGGCTGGAAATACGTATGTGTATTCCTCAAAATGTCCGCCGCGTTAGAAGTACATGTGAACAACCGGAATTTGTTGGTCTTTCCTCAGGAGCAGTGCGACATTAGGTTAGTTTCCTCTAAACCAGACCTTTAAAACAGGATGAGTAAACGATCTAAAACATAAAAGCCTCGGCGATTTCAGGACGTTATGCCTTTTTAAATGCACCAGTTAAATGTAATTATGAAAGATACAATATATTTTACTTACAGGATAAAGATGTTCGAATCATAGTTTCGAGTTTCTACGAAGAAGCTGTCTGGGAAGTGTTTTGCAGCGTAAGTATTTTTCTTAAGAAGTAAAAACACAGTTTGTTTATCCTATAAATTATCTTGTCCATTCCTGAAATGAGGTGTAATGGATTTCTTTTCTGATAAAACTAACAAATAAGTGCACCATTAAGTTTGACAAGTTTTGCAGCATATTGTTTTACTTCTTCTGAGTTTGTTTTGACTTACAAAAGATTTACAAGTTGGGCATGTATGGGCCCAACTTCGTCTGGATGATACCTGGCTATTTCTCGGACGGCTGGTGGACCAAGGAGAAGGCGGGCCTAGACTGCACACCGCAGCAACTCAAGTTAGCTAGCGAGGGGTACCTGTCTATTGCTTACAGTATGTACGGTATGGGCGAAGAGGAAGGGATATGTGGAAAGGTGAGGAGGAGCGGCGGCCCAATTCCGAATCTGAAAAACAAATAGCCCGGTTTAATACGAATCAGGGATGTAGCGGAGTCCATTACAAGTCCAGTCACAAGTAACAGTGACAAGTAACAGTAGATGAACAATAACAAATGAATTGTCGAAGCTCATTTGAAATGGATTGTGTGAGTTGAATTGGGACTGGAGGACTTGTGATGGACTAATACAAGGGGCCTTATTCACGAGTTGTCCATTTTTGTTGAGTTCCCTCAACATATATCATTAATTCTTAACTGTTGAATGAGATGGCGTCAGACTATTTTTGCAGGCAAAGTGTAACTTTTTTTACTGTCATTTTTTTAAAAAATCTGGCTTTAAACATTATGGAACGTTTAATTACAAATTATTATTCATTTAATTTAAGCAGACTGGAATAAATTAGTTATTAACTTGCTTTCATTTCTCTACACAAGATCCAAAAATCAAGATTTTACCTCACTCTCAAACCAATATTGCCGATTCGTGAATAAGGCCCAGTACATATACTTCTGATGGACTGCACTTCATCATGCCCGATTTCGAATCCGGCAATTCGGGTGTTTTCGAAACACTCAGCTTCGGCTAAATGGCTATGGCTATGTAAGCTCTTTGTTCAGTGCCCTTTTGGGCGTAAATGCAAATAATGTATATTATGTGTGCATACATACATCTTTGAACATCGCCCTCTATGGTCAGAAGCTATCTTCCCCCTCACCACCTGCATGTCGAACTTCCAAGCCTGCCCCCCCCCAACGTTGACAAGATATTGCCACCACTGCGCGTGAATACTGGCTGTCCTAAGTTTAGCCAAGTCCTAAAGAGGCCTAATTGGTACCCGCGGTCCCTTGTCATGTTTATGTATTGCACAAAATGTGATTAACTTCCGGCGCGAGCTGTAGTTAACCATAGTTTGACTAATTTCGCTCGAACGAAGGATGGTTAGACTACTCCAGTCGACTATTTGGGAACTAGACCACGGGGCACGGTTGCATCACTGGTTACCAATAGCCGTGTACATAAAGCACTACGGGGATCCAGGACCAAGGCATTTTGTGATGACGTTTTGGCCATCGTTTGACTATAGAGGCGTTCGTCGTATTAGTGCGCAGGCGTTTAATAGTTACGTCATGATCCATCACTAGTCGACTAACGGTCCTCATCCGAACTTTCTCGTTTGCAGACACCGCTGGAATTCCGGACTGAGGTTTCTAACGAGCTCGGCTACAACATCACGCTGACCAACCGCGGTTCGGGCGCCGTGGGCTACGACGGTATCTGGGCCCTAGCCCTAGCCATGGCCGACGCGCAGGCCAACCTCACCGGCCGGTTGAACTCGTACCAGTATGGCGACGGCGAGTACGCACGGTCCATTGGTCGGAGCATCTACCGGCTCGGTTTCTCCGGTATGTCGGTAAGATATAACCCTCTCCGATTTGTATTTGCCCTTCACTCTAATAAAAGTTCCCCGGTTAGATTTGACACGGAATCCGGGTTCTTTTTGGGCTGACACTTCTCCGGGTCAAGACTGACACTTTTGATGGTGAGACTAACGCTTTAGCCAAGGTTTCCGGGTCAAAATGAGGAAAGTTTTCCATACTCGGCCACCACTTTTTTTCAATTAATTTTCAAGCGCCGAAAAGTTGCATCCTGTATGGTTATTTCCTCCACTTTCCCTCCTCTACTCTCACCCTCTCCTTTCCTTTATTCCTATTTCTTAATCGGTCGCTAAACTTCGTCTAGATTCGAACCTCGGACTCTTCTTTGAAACACAACACTTTTACCACTGGGCCGCGTACGATCGCTTGTTACAATAATCAATCTTTGGACATATTTAAAGTATCCATTGCAATAAGACTAATGAATATTAAATAAACGAAATATTCATGAGGTATTGATTGTTCATAATGACGTATTGCACTATCATTGGCCAGCTCTGCAGTCACCCCCAAAAAACTTGTTTTGTCATTACGTGGAAAACTTGTAATAAAGACGTCCCAGTGTACAGAAAATACTCCTGACTATTAAACACGCAGAAATAACCAACGTGTTGCTTGAACAATAACTCATTAAATACCTGTTGTTCTGCTTTGAAACTTCCTTTAATTATTGTTGAACACGGGTACATCAAGGCTATAAAGTATGAAGACAAACAAATTGTGCAGTCACGCAGAAAACTTGTTTTGTAATTACTTGGTAAAACTTTCAATAAAGACGTCCCAGTGTACAGAAAATACTCCTGACTATTAAACACGCAGAAACAACCAACGTGTTGCTTGAACAATAACTCATTAAATACCTGCTGTTCTTCTTTGAAATTTCCTTTAATTGTTGTTGAACACGGGTACATCAAGGCAAAAAAGTATGAAGATAGACACATGCTGTAGTCACCAAAAAACCGTATTTTGTCATCACGGGGAAAACTTGTAATAAAGACGTCCCAGTGTACAGAAAATACTCCTGACTGTGGAACACGCAGAAACAACCTACGCCTTGCTTGAACGATAACTCCTAAAATACTTGTCAGACCGATTTTAAATTTACTTTTGTTATTATCGAGGACAGTATAAATAAGCCTTTAAAGTATGTTGACAAACCAAAGTTGCAGTCACCCAAAAAAACTTGTTTTGTCATCACATGGAAAACTCTTAATAAAGACGTCCCTGTGTACAGAAAATACTCCTGACTATTAAACACATAGAAACAACCAACGTGTTGCTTGAACAATAACTCATTAAATACCTTTTGTTCTGCTTTGAAATTTCATTTAATTGTTGTTGAACACGGGTACATCAAGGCGATAAAGTATGAAGACGGACACATGTTGTAGTCACCCAAAAGAATGTATTTTGTCATCAGGGGAAAAACTTGCAATAAAGACGTCCCAGTGTACAGAAAATACTCCTGACTATTAAACACGCAGAAACAACCAACGTGTTGCTTGAACGATAACTCATTAAATACCAGTTGTTTTGCTTTGAAACTTCCTTTAATTGTTGTTGAACACGGGTACATCAAGGCAAAAAAGTATGAAGATAGACACATGTTGTAGTCACCAAAAAAAAACGTATTTTGTCATCACGGGGAAAACTTGTAATAAAGACGTCCCAGTGTACAGAAAATACTCCTGACTATGGAACACGCAGAAACAACCTACGCCTTGCTTGAAAGATAACTCCTAAAATACTTGTCAGACCAATTTTAAATTCACTTTCGTTATTATCAAGGACAATTTAAATAAGCCTATAAAGTATGTTGACAAACCAAAGTTGCAGTCACCTAAAAAACTTGTTTTGTCATCACGGGGAAAACTTGTAATAAAGACGTCCCGGTGTGCAGAAAATACTCCTGACTATTAAACACGCAGAAACAACCAACGTGTTGCTTGAACAATAACTCATTAAATACCTGTCGTACTGGTTTACAATTTCGTTTAATTCTTGTGAAGCACAGGTACATCAAGGCTATAAAGAATGAAGACAAACAAATTTTGCAGTCACCCAGAAAACTTGTTTTGTCATTACGTGGAAAACTTGTAATAAAGACATCCCAGTGTACAGAAAATACTCCTGACTATAGAACACGCAGAAACAACCAACGTGTTGCTTGAACAATAACTCATTAAATACATGTTGTTCTGCTTTGAAATTTCCTTTAATTGTTGTTGAACACGGGTACATCAAGGCAATAAAGTATGAAGACGGACACATGTTGTAGTCACCAAAAAAATCCGTATTTTGTCATTATGGGGGAAACTTGCAATAAAGACGTCCCAGTGTACAGAAAATACTCCTGACTATTAAACACGCAGAAACAACCAACGTGTTGCTTGAACAATAACTCATTAAATACATGTTGTTCTGCTTTGAAATTTCTTTTAATTGTTGTTGAACACGGGTACATCAAGGCAATAAAGTATGAAGACGGACACATGTTGTAGTCACCAAAAAAAACCGTATTTTGTCATCATGGGGAAAACTTGCAATAAAGACGTCCCAGTGTACAGAAAATACTCCTGAATATTAAACACGCAGAAACAACCAACGTGTTGCTTGAACAATAACTCATTAAATACCAGTTGTTTTGCTTTGAAGATTCCTTTAATTGTTGTTGAACACGGGTACATCAACTCAAAAAAGTATGAAGATAGACACATGTTGTAGTCACCAAAAAAACCCGTATTTTGTCATCACGGGGGAAACTTGTAATAAAGACGTCCCAGTGTACAGAAAATACTCCTGACTATAGAACACGCAGAAACAACCAACGCCTTGCTTGAACGATAACTCCTAAAATACTTGTCAGACCGATATTAAATTTACTTTTGTTATTATCGAGGACAGTCTAAATAAGCCTATAAAGTATGTTGACAAACCAAAGTTGCAGTCACCCAAAAAACTTGTTTTGTCATCACATGGAAAACTGTTAATAAAGACGTCCCAGTGTACAGAAAATACTCCCGACTATCGAATGAACAAGCAGAAACAACCTACGCGTGCTTGTTGTACTGATTTTAAATTTCCTTCAGTTTTTGACGAGGACATTTAAAATAAGCCTATAAAGTATGAAGACAAACCAATGTTGTAGTCACCCAAAAACGTATATTTGTCATCACGGGGAAAACTTGTAATAAAGACGTCCCAGTGTACAGAAAATACTCCTGACTATGGCCGTGTGCCTCCAACTTAGTTCTGCACGACGTGTGTATCCAAAATGTGCTCTTAAAACCTTTTCTCAAAAATTATTACCGGAGCTTCCTGGAGTCGTCTTTGGTGATTTTTTTTTTATTTGAATACTGGCATTATGGCTTCGCCTCGTGGAATGGAACATTTCATCTGTCACCTCATAAAATTATTCTTACCATTGCACTCACAAACATTCATTATTTGTAAACAGTTATTTAGCGACAAAAATAGGATCTTCAGTGGTTCATCTGTAGAAAAAAAGTCGCCAATTAAATGGAATTTTTGAACTGATTGTGCCTAGGGTGCTATTTTATTTTTTATTCAACACCTGAATAAATCCCCGTCATCTGATTGGATGGCAGTGGAAAATATCGCAGCGCACAGTGCAATGGAAGTTCTATTGCACGGTGAATAGAACTTCCATTGAACGGTGTCACTGCTGCCGGTGGTGGCGCTGTTTTAAATCGACATAAATAGAAAAGGATGGTTCTCAACCTGTTGAACAGTTTGCATAAATTAACTATGATTAATTTTTCGAACTTTGAAACAGTTTTTAACCTGAATAAATTGGCTATTAAAAGTCAACCAATTAGATGACAAGGATTTATTCAGGTGTTATATAAAACAAATAATGAATGTTTCACGTTCGTGCAATGGAAAGAATAATTTCATTCGGTGACAGATGAAATGTTCCATTCCACTCGGCTTCGCCTCGTGGAATGGAACATTTCATCTGTCACCTCATGAAATTATTCTTACCATTGCACTCACAAACATTCATTATTTGTATACCAGCAGGCCTTGTAGAATACGTTTGTCAGATTTACCGGAAAACTGCGGTGTATAGAGAACACCATCTAAAATTTATATTAATCCGTATCTTTACAATTGGCTCAGTATATACTGCATGGAAAATAATGTACTGTGGTTTATCCTGGTAATGGAATAAAATTCAAGCCCTTTTTTCCCCGGCAGGGCCCGGTACGTTTCTCCCCCGGAGGCGACAGAATTGGTAAACTTCTCATCGAGCAAAACATCAGTAAGCAGCTATTCAAGATTGGAAAATCGATTTATTACTTTGTATAACAAACTGGTAAAACTCTGAATAGAAGCGTTAACAACTGTCCAACACGGTGGTCGAGTAGTAAGTCATCTGCATTAAAAAGCAGGAGGTCGTGGGTTCGAGTCCCACCCAAGTGATTTTTTCCAACTTTCACTCGGGAAGTAACACACTGAGTTTACAGTGTTTATGCGTCGGTGAAGGGCAAAACTCATTTGATTTAATTTAGCATTAACAATCACAGACGAAGTTTCGAAGATATATTGCTTGTGACAAAAGATTGCGACTTTTGTTTATTCTCAAGCTCTCAGACAACACATAGTAAATATAACATTTCATTATTCAAGGGAATAGTATTTCCTTGCAGTTTATGTTTTGACCTTTTTTATATTTCCAAGATGGCCAGGAGGTAGTAGTTGGGACCTACAACAACATTGCTGACCGAATCATCTGGGCTGTTCCGTCTGAAGACCTGTGGTACTACAGTGGTAAGTTTTAATCTATTGAATAGGCCCAAGTTTTCCTTCTTACCCGGCAGCGAATTATTTTTTTCTACACGAGATCCGACAATATCAAAAGAGGGCGCTCTCTCTGCGTTATGCATATTCATGATGTCCAGGGCTTTAGAGAATAAGTTATATATCGAGGCATAATAGTGTTCAAATCACCAACGATTGGCAGCTGATTCGTGGACTGGTTGGAAGAAGTCCTGACTTCTAATCAGGGGATCTGAGTTCGAACCCCAGTGAGCGTTTTTCACTTCTTCTCATTTTACCTTTTAAATAACTAAAGTGAGGATGGAACATTTCTCACAAGACGTAAAGCCTATCTTTGGCTTGTGTTGTGGCGAACAAGGCATTATATGTGCAATGGGGGGGGGGGGACAAAATCGCAACCAGGCACACCCTCATTTAGTAATTTTTGTCAGCAAAAGTGTTGTCCTTTTGGCAAAATCGTGTGTCCGACAGCAAATGTGCTGTCATAGGTAGAGCTATCTATTGTCGGATGGTATTGCCCTGCCCTTTCGATTTTCCAACCTGGTAGGCAGGGAAACGTACCTGGCTACGTTTCGGCCGGAATTATATGTCTGCAAGTTTGTTATCGCCTCACCCATTGATATTGGTCTAGGAAACAATAATGGTTCAGGGGTCTTTCATGTAGACAATATGCGTTGCTGGTGTCTCGGAGAATATTCTACATTATTTTTATCCAATAAAAATGAGTGCACAAAATGCCTATCCAATGGGACACAAAATCATTGCCCTTTGGGTACGGCTGTCTCTGTCACCGATGAGGGGGTAATTGCATAATAGCGCCCTCTTATTCCTGCTTTCTACTAACTTTTTTAACCGTCTCGCTAATGATAGTGGATAACTCTTAAACTAGTTTTTTTTAATAATGCTATCCGTAATCTTTATTTTTCACAGGAGGGAAACCCCCTTTCGATTCGGACATTACCAAGACGATTGAGCTTCTTCAAGGGAGCCCTCTATCGCTCATTGCGGTCATGAGCGTCCTGGCGTCGCTGGGGATCATATTTGCTGTCATGTTTCTGCTCTTCAATATCTGGAAGCGTAGCAACAAGTTAGTAATCATTGGCAAGTTTGATCCCCTAATGGTCAAACCGTGATTGATTTGTGACACACTTTACGCATGCGCACTATCATCAAAGTGTGAACGATCCCTCATCGAACTGCAGTCAAACGGCATTACGAAACTTCCCCCTCCAGGCTCTCTGCACCATACTCATGTCCACATGAACGGCTATTGGTAACCAGAAAGTTGACTACTTAATCACCACCTCGGCTTCGACTCCGACTTTGGCCTCATCTTTGACTCTTGTTAGAACCCCCCCCCCCCATGTCAACCCACCTCCCCTCAAAAATAAAATGCTGGCATCGTTGACCTAAAATAACAGGATAATGCTGTGCATAACATTTACATTATTTAGCCGAGGTACTGTACGTCAGAAGTTTAAAAGCTACCGAAGCCGAAGCAGAAGCCGGAGATATGCCGCGGTTTGGGGACATTCTAAATGAGGTTAATCCTGCTTCTCGATTGAACATGCTCAATGAGTCCCCTCCTTTTTTTTCCACAGGCAAATCAAGATGTCTAGCCCCAAAGTCAACAACATCATTGCGTGTGGCATCATGCTTGCCTACCTGAGTGTGGTGCTGCTGGGCGTTGATCGATCAATGGTGGAGGAGAGTGCCCTACTTGCCATCTGTAGGGTAGGCCTATATTAGCATTGACAGATTTTTATGGTTGAACTAAGAGCTAGTTATAAGGTGAGCCATCAACAGAATGCCATGAGAGGTGGTCATTTTTCAACTTCACGGTCGATTTCCTACAGATAATAATCCACCTTGTTTATGTTTGGCACCACACTACCAAGAAAACATCCGTGTCATCAAATGTTAGGTAGACATGATAAGACATTTTTTCTACAGCAGCTAAGATCAGCGCAACTTAGTCTCTACCTTCACAGGTACCCATTTATACTCCTGGTGGAGAGAGACGCTTTGCATTAAATTCACAAGCACCATGTTCCCCGTCATGGTTTGAAACCACGTACTACAGCACGTGTCGAATACCGTATAACCATTGGTCCACAGCGCCCCAACAATTCAACTTGGAAGATTATTCTGAGTGCTGTATCATATTTTCTGACGACACAAATAGAACCGTAGGCCAGTTTAGTTCCAGTGAAGAATCTTCATAAGTTATATCCTAAACCGTTTGGTTTCAAGTCCGTTCATGGATTTTCCCTGTGGCATCCACTCCAGCATTCGGAGGAATGTTTACCAAGACACTTAGGATGTAGCGGCATTGCCACGCCGTCAATCAGACAAAAAGATCTTTGTTCTTAAAATCACTTTCTGACGAAACAAACAGAACGGTACTTAGTTCTTTCAAAGAACCTTCATACGCTCTAAGTTAAACCGTTTGGTTTGAGGTTCGTTTACGGATATTTGTTCTTAAAAGCACTTTCTGAAGTTCTTCATGTTTCGTTCCAGGTTCGTTCCTGGATCATTCCATTAGCCTTCACTCTGGCATTTGGAGGAATGTTCACCAAGATGTGGAGGGTGTATAGTATCGTCATTGCCAACAAGACCAAAAGAAAGGTACAACAAATCTTTAGACACGTACGTTGAAAACACAAGAACAAGACGTTCATGGTTCAAAAAGACATGTTATAGCTGTTACTTGGCACCAGTGCCAGAACTACGATCCAATTTTTAGGTTGGGGCACAATGATTCGTAGTTCTGGAAGCACTGAAAGTGTATTTTTTAAAAGTTTTTAACAGTATAACGCAGTTTCTATCTCTGATTTTTGAGCTAAGAGCACTAGGCGTGACATGCCACGAGTGGGGAGTGGGGGAGTGCCCCGTCCACTAACGGTTACGCCATTAGTTGGCACCTATAAAGTTCATAAATCATCCTTAATCTTTATTCACTTGTGTCTGCAGGTGATCAAGGACTACTACCTCTTTGGTATCATCGCCGTTCTGCTGTTGGTAGACTTGGCCATTCTCATTCCCTGGCAGATCATTGATCCAATACAGATCAAGGAGAATAGAGTACCCATTCCTCAGGTAGGAAATGCTCCTCACTTAAGTACTCTAGAAAAAACCGCCCCGCTGACTATTTGTCTCTAGCCCCAGCCCCACCCCATCTCCCTGACTACCAGCACCACCAGTAGGTGAACACCGGAGACCTCTTCGGAGCTGATGATGGGAAAAGTCGACAACCGGGCATCAGATTATCTTGTTTTTGCATATATATGACATGGTGGTTTTTTAACTTCGCAATGCCGCATGTTTGACAAAGGTCGGTTCATTCTTGGTGCGACAGCGGACGCGAACTCAATTTTGTGACGTCACGACACGTGATCACTGGCAAATCAAGCTGAATAAAGCTGACGAAAATTGCAGCGAAATGGTTTTCACATGCCTAAGGTGAATTTGTGTCATACGTGGATCAGTATCTTTCAGTACAATTCATCCCATGCAATTCGAGGCCTAAAGCCTTGGTTTCAGTCGTCTTTGTTGATGTTCTTGTCATACCTTCAATACCAGTGTTAGTCAGGTAAAAGTCAATACTGAGGCTGGAGTAAAGTATCATGCCGTCGATTCATACCAGATACCTCTCGTTTGTTCTCGTCGTTTCACGCAGACCCAAGACGATCTGGAACGCCACGAGAAGCGCGAAGAGCTGCACGTCATCTGCACGTCTACTAACAACACCATATGGACCTTGGTGCTCATCATCTACAAGGCGTTTGTAGTCGTCATCGGCGCTTTTCTCGCCTGGTCCACAAGGTAAGCAGAAAATTAATGTATCGTTCCGAATTGTTCCACAAACCCAGCCAAACTTTGGTTTGTGCACATTTTAATAGTGCCTCTAACCAAGCTACTGTGGTCACCCGCCTAAAGTCGTGACGTACTCGGTGCGTCCTATGTGATAAATATGTGTTGGTTTATACATATGTAAGTTGCCCATGTGATAAGACAATTGAAAAATGGCGTCTGTTGCTATGTGCAAGTTCGGGCATGGGTCATTAGTCGACTAGTGGTTGACTTAAGTTTGTGACGCAACTTACGCTTGCGCACAAACAGCAATGTTCTTCATGATGCGAATACATTTTGGTTACCAGCTATGCAAATGTGCCCCATGATCCCGTTGCAAAATAGTCGACTAGAATTAGTCCAACCATCCTCCAAGCCAAGTTAGTAGAACTATGGTTAGCTATTGCTCGCGCACGAACTTAATGCGCCCTTTCAGAGCGCCCTCTACTGAGCTCCATGTTGTATTTGACTAATACTCTCTACCGCTCAAACAAAAATAATACTTTTACAAACTAGTTCATTGCTGTCAATATGAATGCGCTAAATCAGCATGAGCTAAACGTAAACAGAACAAAAAGCAAAGGCTGCTCTGTTGAACTGCATCTGACACCTAACTTGTTGAAACTAAGAAACAGAGTATAAACGAGTGCCTTTCAACTTTTCACAATAATTTTCATTATTTTCTGGAACATCAGGTTGTATTTAGATTCGTTGGTACCCGACATTTTGTTTGATGCTGACCACCCAAGATTTGTGTGCACATGCGCAGTTGTATGAACCGCTGGTATCATTGACTCATTCCTGCCCTTGTTAAATTTTACCAAGGAACATCAAAGTGTCCGGTCTGAACGATAGTTACTACGTGGGGTTGTCTATCTACAACACCGTCATCTGTTGCGTGGTAGCCGTGCCTCTATCTGTCCTTAATGTCTCGTCTACCGTCGTGACCTTTGCCCTGGTTTCTGGTTTTCTGCTGCTCTGTATTACGGTATCTCTCTGCATGCTGTTCATACCAAAGGTAGGCTGAAAGGTTCTACTAATCAAAGTTTCTAAATCTTAAGTGTGTGAGTTATCACAAGTCAATCACAAGGGATCAAAAGTCAATCAAAAGTCATCATAAGACAACACAAGTTATCATGAGTCAACATGAATAGTCATAATTAGTCATTAAATAGCACAATGTAGTAACTACAAGTCAAATAGTACATCATAAGTCATCTACGAGTTATCACACAATATCAGAGGCCCCCATAATTCATGAAGAAGTCTATCTCAAGCAATCACAAGATGTCATAATCCATCGCAAGATGTCAAAAGTCAAGTACAAGTCTGAAGTCTGTCACAACTTTTCCACTCTCAAGTTACCTGGCAGGTTATTGAAATCCTACCGGTGAATCGACTTCTGAGTGTTTTGTAATTCGATTCCAGAGTTCCGTAAAAATTTCACTTGAGATTGGCTTGTGGTTGACTAAACTAAAACTTCGTGTAGTCAAGGAATTGGAATTTCGAATTTGATTCGTGCCTCTTTCCTTAGGAACTAAGAACTTCAATGATGGGTCTTCCATCACTTTGTTACCTTGAGTGTCTTGTTTAAATTAAGCCCATTTGGTTGTATTAGTTTAGGGGCCCTCCATCTTGGTATTGAAATTTCACCCTCGATTTGAAATCATGGATTTTTAGGTTGTGGCGGTCTACCGCAAGAACTCCGTTTCAGATGAAACATTCACCGGGACGAGGATTGGGACGACGGTGGGGGCGCCCCGTCGTGAGGTACCGACAACAAGCGCTGTGGTCGAGTCTCGGACAACGGCGGATTGCTAGCTAGCCAACCAAGTGATACCATTCAGGATATGGCTGTGCCGGAAACGAGCTACGGCTGCGGCTACTATTGTCAGCAAGTGACCTCACAAGACGTCAAGGGACTGTGATCGAATAAACGCCTGACGCAGTGTAGATTTTCTGAGATCATCGGTACAGGTGTAGACCGACCCATTAAGCTCCGCCCAGTGGAGTTTTGACCAATCACAGCCGTGACTGAAGTCCGATATGCGTGCACAAGCCCGACATGCGTGCACGCGCGTATGACGCGCAAAGCTGCAACATGCAGTGTTGAAGAGGATCATATGTTTAGTGCCCACGTGCGCAGTGGGCGGAGCATAATAGATCGTTCTATTGCCAGCGCCATGATAGAGTCCTGCACAGCAACGTGACATTTAAACGTTGGTCAACCTCGTCTGACGTCACATCGACAGCGGCCGTTATTAACGCCTAGTAGGCTGCACGGTGTGCTGGGTATGTTCTTATAGCATTATATACCCGCTACTACACTGAAAAATTGCCTGGGTTAATTATACCAAAGAAAGGGTGAAAACTGGAACTACACAACCTTGGGTTGCTCTATAACCAATGGTTTGGGTTGGAATTTCTGCTCAATTCAACCAAAAATTGTGGTCATCTTGTATGACTACAACTTTTGGTTGAATTTAACATAAATAATAACCCAAACAATTGGTTATAGAACAACCCAAGTTTGGGTAGTTCCAGTTTTCACCCTTTCTTTGGTAAAATTAACCCAGGCAATTTTTCAGTGTAGTATAGTTATAGAACACAGATCTTTAAGCATTGTCCAGCCTACATATGACGTCACTTGGTAGTGTTCATAATAACGCCCTAGGGGCTTCGTGCACAAATACCCCCTCAACGGTAAAAAAAAAAGAGAGTTGGGGAGACCCATTGATCTCTATTACACGTGCATGTATAGACTATTATAGTGCATATATTAGTAGGGGAGACCACTGGGAGAGACATTCAAACGCATTGCCGACGACGCCTGACTCTCACTCGAATACGCCATAGCTTTGTGCACATTCTGAATAAAATTAGTTGCGCGTACTTGCGCGTTACAATAATACGCAAACCATTGGGGACCATTAAAAACGGCAGCATTCATCGGGCTTGCTATCTGCCATGTGCTTCTCACGTCAAAATATCGAGATGTAAATGTCCGTCTGGTGAAATTATCACACAAAATAATGATTTCAAAGGGCACTGTTTTGCCGAGCTGCATTAGTAACATTTGTAATAATGGTTTCTGGTGTGGGTAGGCATTACAGCACTGTGTAGACTTCCGAACAAAAGAGGTCCACATAAACCAGGTAGCAGCGGCGATGTGTGGACGTGGGCAAGTCCACGCAGTGTTTTAACATTTCTGGAAAACAGGTTTAGAAGCATTTTAGGGTTAGGTTTATCCGTGGCAAAATGAAGAGAAACACTAAAGGGGATCATAGAAAAAAATTGGGTTGAAAGAGTTTTCACAGTTTGAGAAAAATGATTTTTTTTTTTCACTGTTTTTTCCCTTAACTACACGAAACCAAGGGAATGTCCACACTTGATATGTAATGTAAACATGGGTGTGCACGCGGTGTGTACCGTCCGCTGGGCTCTCGAAAGTAGTACGTGTATAACAAAAGCGCCCTCTCTTTTTGCGCACGGAGCCGATGCAGGGTGTAAATTTAGAGTTTCTAGACGCCCAACAGACGCACAGTAGACGTGTTCATGACAAAAGGAGTTTCACAGACGTCAAGACGTGGTATGACGTCCAACCTCATAATATGACGTCACAGAATAATCATCGGATGAAACGCCTGACGCAGGCTGTATTTAAGTTGAATAATCTACGTGGCAGTTTCACTGGTTACCTTACTGAATGCGATATTGCGAGGATAACTCAAAGTACCAGTTATGGTTTTACGCCTTCGCTAGAGAGGGCGCTTTTTGACCACTTTCAACGGCATGGGTTGCTAGAGCGTACAGCGCTGGCCTCTCACAGCTGTGGCCCAGGTTCGATTTCCGGCTCGGGTCATAATGAGTAGAGTTGTTTTTTGATTCTCTCCTGTGCCTCGAGATTATTTTTCCGTTCCCCTCCCCGGTTTTCCTCCCTCCGCTAAAATCAACACTTTCGATCTCTTTGTGTTTTATGGTACGATATAAGTAAAATTAAAAGGACTTAAATTGTACATTATTGTTTTTTATTCAAACAATGGTGTACAATTTAACTCCTTTTCATTTTTTCTCTATAAAAATGTATTTCACGTAAGGCCAAAACTTATGATCCTGGTACAAAATACAGAGGATGTTTTTTTAAAGTTTTATTTAATTTTAAATTTAAATACTTTTAATATTTATTTGTGCTTTCTAATTTTGGTGTTTTAATGTTGTAGATGTCATGCAATTCAGATTGTAACTGCTATATGTCATGTTTTTTTTTTAATAAACCATAAACCATAATGGGTTGCCTGGCGGCTGCATAATTAAGGCGACTTAAGCTTACATGCCTCCGGCTCGACTACGTTGTAGCTGCGTCCTTCGCAGTTCAGCTTCTGCTGCACGCAAGGACGATTAGCTCCCGAAATGTATTTATTTATTTACGGAATCTTTCGAGAATTCTATCTAAAAACAAAACGTATGCAATACGTTTGGTGATTAATAATTCAGTGTAAAACCACGCCGTGCATTAAAAAGGAGAAGGCTGAAGCCATTACATTTCAGTGACGGTCACCAATGCTGTGAATTATTGATGCCGTTGATAGGAATGTGATAATGTAGTTTTTGACTAAAACCACGTTAAAAATCGGTCTCTCCAATGAACAATTGCTGGTTTTGCAAAGATGGGAGAATGTTTTGGCAGCGTTTAGTACAATGTGCTCTGTTGACTCTCAATAGAATTGGAAAAAAAAAAGAGCACACACTTGTACACGCATTTTGTCTGCGTTTTGGGGGAGCGCCGTGTCCCTCCCAACCACCGAATTTACAAGCGGCGATAGGGCCTACACAAAATCCAGGCATGTGACATTGATCAACGCCGTGTCGAGACAACATCGTATTAAAATCACCTCTTTACCCGGTTTGATATCAGAGTAGAATTTCTTGATGTCCAAACGGTGTTGTTTTTTTTATAGAACCGATCCGAAGCCCGCTTGATAATACACGCCGTAAATTAGATTTTCATAGGGAAACAACTCACAGATTGCTGTTATTCAGAGGGGAACGAAGGCGCGCTCATCCAAACAAAATAGACTGGACAGGAGGCAAGTACGCATGATTACGTGATCTGCCTGCCATTTGTTTGTTCTGGTCAAATGTCGCACACAATTTAAAAGCCCACCGAGGTCGCTCATGTCTTGCCCAAAAGTCATGTTCCGGTGTTAACAACAGGCGCGTGGAAAAAAAAAAGAAGAAGCAAAGTTGCCTCCCGGATAAGTAGCGCCTTTGTCCATGCAGGAATCGCTGATGACATTCAAAACAGAAGGCTTTATCAACCCGGAATTGTACACGGACCCAGGATGTTTATTGCGGGTGGAATTCAATTACAAATCCACTAATTTGATTAAGGTTTCTTCAGAATTGGGAAAGAAAAATATTCAGCTCTCGTGAATTTCAGAGCAAAACAAAATATGTGCGCCCGGCGAATAGATAAACTTCGATTTAAAGGGTGAAAAACCTTTGTTATCTTCCGCAGCAATAGTGCATAGTCAACTTCAAACCGAAATTTTAAAGAATTCTATAATGAGCCTAATGCAGGTACAAAAAAAATAAAAGAAAGTAATGTTCGAACATATAAGTGGAGGACGATTGTTGCAGTTCGGCTTTTGAAGAAAGTGCCCAATTGAGAATTAAAAAAACCCAAAACCAAATTCATATTATAATGTACAATATGCACTTTTGTCATGCACCAAATCTACATTATTACAACTTTTGATTTGTATGAAAATTTTGATTTCCCATCCTCCGTTCGGTAATACCGCGTATTTAGACATTAAGTCAAACTAAATTGTCAGATCTTAGTATGACTTAGCCAATCTGCACAGTTTAAATTGCAAAACTGGCATTTGCTTCATATTAGTGGGAACAACCAATGCAGGTTACAGATAAGAGAGGTGTTCAGGTGAAAAGCCCTCAGTTTTTAGCAAGATATACAACAACTCGGGCACGCCATCAATTCTATCACGGAGGCCCTGTTCAATGGTGAAAGCCATGTGCTGGCTGTTGTTCAGATAATCCATCACGGGACAGGTGCAATTGTGCAAAAGGCCGACGCAGCATTACAGCCGCCGATGAAATCATATTTTCATTACCAGGTGCGTTTTCGTTGGATGCTCTGTGTTGCTATGCAGTACTCCAAACTCAAGAACCATTCAGTTTTATGAAAATGGTCGAGAAACGAGATAAGGAGATTTGTTTTTAGATGTGTGGGTGCTTGCGCCAACCTACAGCGTGCACAATAGTGTCTCCACCTGCAGGTTGCACTTGCTAACCACTTCTCAAGATCAGGAAAAATACTCACAACTATCCAAGGTGTTTGAGACACCCATCAAAATAAAAAAAAATGCGGGTAATTCGATGACTTTTGGAAGAAAATTCCATCTAAAGACAAAAACCCCTAAAAGTAGTCCTGCGCGCGATGTTTTAATCTGCAGATTACATCGTCAATGGATCATAATTATTCAGCTAGTTTGATGTTTATTCATAAGAAAATAACCACGACGTCACACTATTGCTATCACTCAGTCATGCATGTACATTAAAGCATTTCAAAGAACGGCTTTCGTTAGATCTGTGGTTTGAACCCATGTCCATTTTTATCATATATTTTTGTTGGTTGGGATAAGTTTAATTGAAGACAAAACCCTGTCTTCCATCCACACAGCGTGATAAATATGCATGTTAGGGTGAGTGATATGATTGGTTAAAAAACGATGTATGCTGCAAAAGAATACGCTATCTACGCTCCGTTACAAAATAGAGCAACTGCAGGGTCTAGTTTCGTCCAAATTTCACAGAAACACATTGTTGAATTCCTGATCACGGCTTCCACCTTTCCTTTTTTAACAAACCCTCAAGTTCATTCCCCAAGCAATGCTCGAATAGCAAACAAATTGAGGGCATAGGAATTGTGATAGGGCCCGCGAAGGCACTTCAAGCCCTATTCACTGGCCTGTGCCCTTGTGAGTGTACATCGATCATGTGCCTTGATTCATTTAAACCACGAGGGCTGAATGCAATATTGTATGGACATTGCTTTACCAATATGCTTTTTAATATTGCCTGACGTGTGTACTTATTGTGATATATGATTTAATTAATCAGAGTAGCAGTGGGAATTGATTATTATTAGAGCACAAATCAAAAATGTAGATGCCTTTGATGGTTCAGAGTAAAAAAAATCACAAACGCCGGTTGATATGACCAACTCAAGACGTAGGATTCTGAATTATTATTATTTTTCCCAAGGTCGTCGCTATACGTCAGGTGAATTCAGATGAGACAGGGCTACAAAAGTCATTAAATTTAAAATGTAATGTAGTGTTTTGTTCTTTTATTTCCGACACAACGCTCGTGTTTTATTGGTTAGTAATTGTACTCGATTTGTGTAAAGGTACTTCGCCCTCCTGTACTTTCAAACAATTTCGTGTGCCGCAAAAGTTCGCTTCTTTACCGAAACAGTTGAATTTGACAGGAAATTGGAAATCAAATTCACAATTCATCAGTTGATAGTTTCACTACCCAGTGTTCGTAAAAATGGCCTCTGTTGTCAATTTTTGGACATCCTGTGAACACATTAATCAGTGCAGTTCGCTGCCCATGACGTCATTGTTCTATTGTTATCCTTGCATTGTTCTGGCAGCGTGACGCCATTTTGTATTCGCTGTACGTTTTGCAGACAGGTACATAAAATGACCGTGACGATAATCAGGAGTATGAATGAAATGCTCGGAATTCGCAAAATTAGTATTCAAAACACACATCCAATAAACTGCGAGATACCATGAAAATTAATTGGGAATGGGAACTTTCCCGTTTTGTTTTTTAATTTGAATTGGAATTCCATTTTATTTTATTATAATTGTTTTAATTAAAGATGGTTTTTACCTTTCATGTTAGCGAGTTATGCATTAAATATGTATTTTCCGATTGCACAAAAGTTTTCGTTGTGCTCCGATTAAATAATATGATAGTGATGTATTATGTATGTGTATTTTAGTCTTAACTATCCTGAAAATCATGCGTTTGGGGGTTTATAGTCAGGTGGCATACCGTTGGAATCGTGACCGACTGGTCCAAAGCACCAAACTTAGCAGATAGATTCTTATGGTCCAAGAGAAGATATTTAGAAGGGGTGACACCTGAAATTCGTTTGGGTAGGGTGCCTAATTTGCATAAAGCGTTAATCCCTTCCGTGTAATATATTAATATCCATATTTGGGTAGATGTTTATTTTTTTATTTTTTGAAAAGTATATTTTGGGTATTTTACTTACATATCCTTACTTAAATAACATTTTCTAAAGCATATCGGAGACTTAAAGATTATGAAGACGTAATAAAGATCCAAAATGGCTACCATTATTATACCCTAAAGTTGCGCGCATTTCCTTTTCCCTCACATACCATCAAGTAGTCTTGCCAAACCTCAGTATTGATGAGCTTCAAATTCACAAAGATACTTACTGACACAGTAACCCTACCAAAAATAAATGGGAAATCATGTGAAAAATAATATCATCTTGATATTTAGCCCACAGAAACAAAAATGAGGTGTCCGTAAATTGGGCTAAACATTAGGCGAAGCCTGCCTAACGTGAGGGACTTGATCAAGTTCCCGTTTTTGTTTTCTGGGATAAATATCACAATGTTATTATTGTTCACATGATTTTCCATGACGTTTTAATCGAGTACCTGTGCCAGTAAGCAACTTGGTGAATTTGAAGCTCATCAATTCTAAGGTTTGGCAAGATTACTTGATGATATCTGGAGACAAGGTTAATGTGCGCAACTTTGAGTATAATAGTAGCCATTTTGGATCGTTACTATGTCCTCATAATTATCCAGTCAGTCTTAAATGCTTTAAAACATGTTATTAAAGTAAGTGTGTGTAAGTGGAATCACCAAAATATACTTTTCAATAAAAAAAAAAAAAAAAAAAAATATATATATAGTCAAATATGGGAGTAAATATATTACACGGTAGGGATTAACGATTTATGCAAATAAGGCACCCTTCCCAAAAGAAGTTCAGGTATCACCCCTTCTAAATATCTTCTCTTAGGCTATAACACTATATCTGCCAAGTTTGGTGCTTTGGACAAGTCGATCACGATCTTGTCCCAAATTGGGTCTAAGCCACCTGACTATTACTAGTAATCGTAATGTATGCATGGCCCCAGTGGAAGCCAATTTGTAGTACATATACCCTGTGTTAAGAATTATATAAAATAAAATAATGATTTTTATCTTTCACTGTCTGTTATGTGTTATTTTTAATACATTTTAAGCCCGTGTTATGCTTCTGAAAGATTTTCTATTTTACTATTGATTTGTCGTGCAAAGTATTCCAAAATGCGCTAGAGGAAGGTCTTAATTAATTTGCACAATTTCCATAGATCAACACTCTCAACTCGTGATTCGCTACAGCCAAATCGAAAAACCAAGGTTACATTGTCTACGCGTTTATACCTGTGAAATCACGTGCCATTGGACCAATGTCAAAATTACATCAGCTATTGTTCATGTTCCGACAGTGATACAGTTATGCTAATTATTGGGCGAAATGGAACAGGCCAGAAATTTGCACGCGCAAAAATGGACGAGTCCTACTCGTCAAACACTTTGATTACAGACGATGCGATCGTGCGAGATAGAAATGTATTTATTCTTTTGAGCCGAGAGTTGATCTTCACTTCTGAAGTAATCCTAGGCGCCAGAATCTTGTTAGAAAAAAACCCTAAAATGTTGATGATCGTGCTATCATGGATTTTGCTGTTTCTGGCGGGCCACGCCGGCAACCTGTGTACCGTGTCCGCCAGCCGTACGCCCCTCCACATTGCAGGGCTTCTCCCGCTGTCGGAAAAGGACGGCTGGAGCCGTTTCTTCGGCTACAGTGCTCTGGTGGGTGCCAATCAAGCGATCGTGGACATCAACAACAGAAGTGATATTTTACCGAACTACACCCTGGTTCTGAACGTCTCCGATACAGAGGTATTTTTTTTTTAAATAATCATTTTGTTTAAAATAAACGTCTTATTCATTGTTCATAGTTTAACCGACAGTAATTTGGGCCATTCCATAAATTTGGGGTCGAATTATGTTACCAGGCCCGCCGCTAAGGGGGGAGGGGCCCAGCCCCCCTCCCCCAACGACGAGCAACTGCCCAACCCCATCGGCAAAAACCATAAGCGCATATACAAGTGTGTTTTTTTCTTATGGTGTACCCCCTAATTTGTACTGTGTCCTCCCCCCCCCCCCCCAATGATCGGAGCTGGTGACGGGCGTCTGATATAAGATTTTGTAAATTCAGGACACATTCTTTAATGCCTTCTATCTCCAAGAGTGATTATGCAAAGCACGTGCAAAACAAATAAAAAATAGTTTGAAGTCAATTTAACGATACCTGCATGGCCAATTACGCAGGTCAGGTGTAACAGGGACACATGAAATGTCACGCTTTTCGAACCCAATTTATGGAATGACCAATATATTTTTAACCTGAAAACGAGCCTTGGATACTAAATCATGAATCAATCGAAATCAAATCAATCAAATGAATCTGAGACGAATTGTCAAATTATTGACTCTCATATCCACATTCCTCAGAATGTAAGACTGAGTGGCGTGTCAACGTGAAGAGTTGAATATGCCCTTACTTATGCATAATTGTGAAAAGGGAATAGGAATCATTGCGTGTGTTATCAAAATTAACGTCAGTGCTAATGCATAATGTGTTTAGGCCATACAGCTGTATTAAATTACTAGAGCGCTGACTCGTATACGCAGATTTTGGGTGATGCCTGCTGAGGGGCGCATCCACGTTTGTGCACAAACCTATGGAAAAGTTGAAATTTTGTACGGCGTTTGTACGGCTATTTGCATATCTGCGTTTGTATTCGTTACCGGTGCGTCATCGAAGCCGATACTCCCAAATAAAAACCGAAACCATTGATCTCCAGTATATGGAGATCAATGACCGAAACGCACGATCAGCAAATGAGCGTTTCATTTTGCTCTGCGCAAACAGCGCAAGGCGTGCGCGTACTTGCGCGTTGCCTTTAGAGTACACTTTCAAAATTCAATCCATTTAATTTCATTATGTTCATAGATATAGAATAAAAAGACTAGATCGGCAGCACGTCCACACGCGCCCATTCACTTTGCGATAAATCTCCGCAATTTTTGTTGTCTTTCGTGGACGTGCAACAAATTAACGTAAAGTAATGGAGCTTAATGTATCTTTCCTCCAGCACTTGACCTAGCTCAACGCGCGTGAAGCTAGAAATGCGCACCGAGTTTTTACGCGCTGCGCTCACGCACGCTAACACGTTGGTGGCGCTTTTCATTTCGGCTACGGGATAATCAGTTTATTTTCTGCAAAGTTCAAGAGATACTGATTAAAATAAACAAGCGTAGACTGGTGTTTCAACATTATAGAAACGATGTTATCTTATTTATTCTCTGGTGTATAATTATTAGCATTGAAGGTCTCAAGTAACAGAATATAAACTCGCAATGTGCGCGTAAGCGGCGGTGCGTTCGTCACGTCTAGCGCGCAATTTGTATCTTTCCTCCCGAGTAGTAAGGGAGGCGGGGGTGCTGGACTTTGTCATAGGTCTGTGGGTAGTACAGGGCCATTAATGAGAAGTCAGGGTACCAGACTTTGTCATAGGTCTGTGGGTAGTACAGGGCCAATGGGAAATCCCCCGATCTCAAGAAAAAAAAAAAATAAAAAAAATAAATCTAACGGAGAGAGAGTGAGAGAAAGAAAAAAATTAGCTCCTTACCCTGTAAAAGGTGAGGAGCTGTTTTTTAATATAAAAATGGAGAGTAATATGTTTAGACCGACGAGTATTTGAAAAATGAATAAAAAATAATATCGGTTTTTATTAAATAGATGGAATACTTTGAGATGACACAACTTGGAGATCAATGCGATCATCATATACTCATCGAGAATGGTTTTTTAGTTTGTGAAACGTGCGGTGAAATAGTCTCGCGTTACTTTGATTTTTCGGCAGAAAATGCGCAAGAAGATCGTATCAATTGGTCAACTTTAAAGAGAAACAAAAGAAAAACTGTGGAGAAACTTATTTTGTCTGTGTGTCCAGAGCAAGACGTAGAAGATGTCCAAGAAACAATCAATAAATATAACGAGCTCGTTAATTACAAAACATTGAGGGGGAATGGTTGCGTCAAACGGTCATTAATAGCGGCGTGTTATCATCACGTCGTTGGATTAGACAAAGAACGAGTTAGAGATTTATTTAAAGTGACTCAAAATCAATTGAATAAAGCACTAAAAAGATACGATGACCACTACAATAAAGGCGGGGCCGAGGGTAACACCCTAAGAGGTGAAATAGAGGTATAACTCGGTGGTTCGCTTTCATAATGTTTATTTACCGTGAATTTGAACTTGTAAGTTTTTCGATAAGAGATTTTTTTTCTTTTGCCAGCCGTTCGTCTACCCGTTTGTTAACTTCTTTTTCAAAGTCTGTATCGTTTTTAATCTTTTGAAGCTTTGTGCTGGTTTTTGTTCTAATTTTCTGCTTAAGCTCGTTAAATTTGGCGAGCTCTCTCGTAATCAATAAGAACTCTTCGTGTGATATATCTCCGTCGTTGATGGCTTGAGACACATATTCTTCAATCGTGTTAAGTTTGGAGTCTGCTAATATCTTAATCTGGTCGTGCTTTTTTAGCTTGGCGGATAATCGCCTAGACGCGATTCTAAGCAGAATATCTACACCAAAAGCGCCTATAAACGTTCCTTCTAGCACCAATCCAACGGGGGTTGATATAACACCCAAGAGAGCGGGAATACCGACAGCCCCCGCTATAGCCCCCAATCCTTCTAATCCTATCTCTACGTAATTAATAGTGTCGATCACTCTCTTTATTTTTTTATAAGTGTGCTCTCGGTGGTCTCTCTCTTTTAAGATTAAAGATCGAATCTCTTCAATCTTTTTAAGTCTGTACACTTTTGTTTCTTCGTTACTATTTAATCGGAGTACATCTCCAGAAATATCGGGGTATAACGCCTTACCATCTACACTCATGTTTTTAATATAAAAAGATTTTAAAATTAAAAGATCTCTAACTCTATCATGATACTCACACCCTTGTTGTTGATGATCTGTCCTTTTTCACCTATGATTGAAAATGTCAGTTTGTCGATTATACCGTTTTTAAGTTTTTTGAAATCCTCGACTCTATCAGGCTCGGGTTTGCGCGTACCCACGGGTACGATTTTTAAGATGTCGGACGGTCGACCATCAAAAAAGTTTTCACTCGTACTTAATTGCGGGCAGCGAATAAACAAAAATTTAAACGGATTAATGTCGTAAGACCCCGTATATACCACTTTGGGTATCAGTCTTCCTTTGGGTAAATTAAGTAATCGAGAGACTTCTCTGTTTAAACGCAATTTGAGATTGACGTCGGTTACCACCAACGTCACCTTTTTAGATTCTCTAAATATTCGAAAACTTACCCCGGGTATATAATTTAAAATAAAATCGAACCAATCGACGTCGTACCACCCAGGTGGGATGGTGACTGAACCGGTGACTCCAGCTGGTAACGGCGCTAAAAGACTCGGAGAAATAAAATCTAAATTATCACCAGACACGACAAGACTCCCACGTATTGTTATCCCAGCATTTCTAATTACTCTCGCTCTAGGTTCGCTTATTATACCTTCGATATATTCTAGCGCTATCATTTTACCTTCATTGATGAAGCTTCTTCTTTCTGCTATAAGTGTTATTAAAAATTTAAGCGTATTGCTTTGTTCTTCGGTTAGTGTTTTGTCTTGTCTTTTAAAGCTTAAAATTCTTATACCATCTACAATTTGATCCATTTCTTCCCGGATCGATTCTAAAGCAGAGTCTAGTCTATCTTCTTCGTACGCTTCTATAAGATCGTTTATAACTCTATTGAAAGTATTTTCATCGTTAATTAAAAAGTCGTAGGGGTACTCGGGTACCAACGATTCAATATAATCTCTATCTGTTCTTACTTCTACATCTGGGCTAACCAGTTCGGGTCTTATACCATCATCAGGTCTTTCAGCGGGTCTCCCATCTATTTGCGTATACCAATCAATCTCCGTGGCGCTGGAAATATTAAAATATCCGGGGTTAAACATCACCCTTTTTACGCGTACAGATTTTTGACCGTTTAAATTATCTACGACGTCTTCTAATTTAAACGTCTGCTCATTTTGAAACAAGTGAAACGAATGCATTTATTTTAAAGTCTTTTTATATTAAAACTGAAACTAAAATAATGGCTGCTTTTATGTTGTTAAAAAAGCAGATACAATCGATAGCTGATCAGGTAACGAGACAAGTAAATCAAAATGTAGCCAAGGCAACCGAGCCAAAGCATCAAGCTGCGTCCCAAGCAAAGTTTTTAAACAGCACTAAACCCAGTGAACTGGAAGTTATAGTTAATAATACCAACGGGTTTTTAAGCTCGTTTCCCGACTTAACCTCAGACTATAAATTGCCTCACGTTGAGACGGATGAGGATGTAGATCGTTGGAAATCACACCCCATGTCGTTTTATCAAAATCAGTTAAATTTTGCGATCTATTGCGCTACTACGGGCTGCGGTGTTGGATTTGATCTTTTAAACGCGAGCAACCGTTACGTTTGGGCCATCTTTAACTTTCATTTATATTTTACGGTTAGAAAGATCCTATATGACCTTGCCGCTCCTTTACCGGGAGATGACACATTTAACGTTCTAGACAACAGTTATAATCATAGAGCATTTAACGATATCTGTTTGTTGTTTGGCATAGATCAAAACAAGTCTTTTAAACAGACGAGAGACACAATATCTAACGGTTTGGGTAACTCGTATAGCTTTAATAAGGGCAAGTTTTTGGCGGTTGGCGATTATTATAGAGCACTACCCAACAGCCCCAAGGTTCTTTACGGCAGCGGCGGCTACGGGGGTCTAGATAGTCCTAAAAAGAGAGG